CATTCTGACTGGAGTTAGGTGGTATCTCAGTGTGGTTTTGATTTGCATTTCCCTGATGATTAGTGAGGTTGAACATTTCTTTATGTGTTTGTTGGCTGCTCGGATAGTTTTTAAAAATCACTTTAATGGCTGTGTAGAGAAGTAACTGAGAGGGAAGAACAAGAATGGAAGCAGGGAGACCAATTGGGAAGCTGTTGCAATCATCTAGGTGATTTCCTGATGGCTCCAGAAGAGGCCTGGGAGCAGCGGAGGTAATAGGAAGCAGTAGATTTGAGGAGTATTTTAAGGAATTATTGTATGTTGGCGGGGGTGTTATGAACTTTGTTCATAACTGTGGGGATGGAGGAAAACATTCACAAAGAATTAACCTTGTAAGAATTTACTGCATGTCTGCTTTCTAAAAGCAGCATTATATAATTGCCTTTCCATACTCTGCCGCACCTCAACTCTCAGCCTACTTTTGTAAACTGGGTGGAACTTATATTTTAGTGTAACTTCTATAGTGTATGTTTCTTTCTTTAAAAACTATATTTCATCAAGGAGTACAAAATGAAATAAAAGACGGAGCCGTGACTAAAATTTGTCTTTTAAAATAGTATCAACTTTGATTTAGAAATAAAAATACTCTGTTGAAACAAAGCACAAAATGTAGCTGAAATAGTAGCCGAGTCACCTTTAAAATTTAAGCAGTTTTACTTATCTGATAAATTGTTTTTGTTAAAAGTTAACAATTGAGTTTTGAGAAGCTATATTATTTAAAGGAATAATTTTCTGATTTTGCTAAAGCATGTATAGAATTTTAGCATTTTCCTCTTTTAGATTTCAGCAGATTAAACAATGAAAGTTGTTTTAGTTAGAATTAATTAGAACGTCTGCTAGTACTCTTAAGAACATATTTATTTAAAATTTTTACCTTTGTCTGTGTCTCATTCAGGGAAGTGCCAGACACAGCTTCAGAATGTGACTCCTTAAATTCTTCCATTGGAAGGAAACAGTCTCCTCCATCAAGCCTCGAGATATACCAAACATTATCTCCTCGAAAGATATCAAGAGAGGAGCTCTCCCTGGAGGATTCTTCCAGAGGAGATTCACCCGTAACTGTGGATGTCTCACGGGGTTCTCCTGACTGTGTGGGTCTGACAGAAACTAAGAGTATGATCTTCAGTCCTGCAAGCAAAGTGTACAATGGCATCTTGGAGAAGTCCTGTAGCATGAACCAGCTTTCCAGTGGCATCCCGGTGCCTAAACCTCGCCACACATCGTGTTCCTCAGCGGGGAATGACAGTAAACCAGTACTGGAAGCCCCAAGTGTTGCCAGGATAAGCAGCATCCCACATGACCTTTGTCATAATGGAGAGAAAAGCAAAAAGCCATCAAAAATCAAAAGCCTTTTTAAGAAGAAATCCAAGTGAACTTGATGGAATCCCATCCCAGTGGCATCTGTAAACTTATCTCCCACCCTTCACTCCCTCTTTTTTGTTTTAATTTTAGGAATGTAACTCCATTGGGGCTTTCCAGACTGAATGCCATAGGGGAATGTCCTTTAGGGCAACTGTCTACTGTCTGCTTATTTAAATGACTATATAATCAATTTGTCAAGTCAGTTATTACTGAAAAATCATTAAGAGATGAGACAGTTTACAGTCACTTCTGCCTATTTATTTCTGCTTTGTTATTAGTGATGTATATACAACATTTTGTTGAAAGCCACTATGGACTTGCAAGCTTTAATGGACTAGTAAGCCAGCATGGGCTTGCAAAAGTTTCTTGTTTACCAGAGCATCTTCTTATCTTTCCACAGAGCTATTTACCTACTGGACTAAATAACTTAAAAGAAGTAAAACTAATTGCACTACTGTTTTCCAGACTGGAAAAAAATCTCTGCAAGTGAAACTGTATAGAGTTTATAAAATGACTATGGATAGGGGACTGTTTTCACTTTTAGATCAAAATGGGTTTTTAAGTAGAACCTAGGGTTTCTAATTGACTTGATTTCTGGAAATGAGAACCCATGCTTTTATTATGGGAAGCTTCTTTAAATGCATTTAATATTGTAAAGTTCTAAGTCCTGCTGTAAAGATCATGTTGTTTTGTTTTCCCAGGGCTTTCACTGTGATTTACTGCATTGCAGGTTGTATGATGCAATATAAATAATTTAAAGAGAGAAGGCTCTTAATTCCTTATGCAAATGGAAGAGTTGAAACTTGATTGAAGGGACTTAAAACATTCACAAGCTTAAACTGAGGTGGGGGAGTGTGGGAATTCAGGCAATTGTTTACAGACTTTGAATAACTGCAAAGGATTTATGGTTTGTGAAAAATTTGTACTGTGGAAAAGATAATAAATTAGAGACATTATTGTGTGGGATTGTGCTGATTTTTGTTGATAACACTCCACAAAAACACTATATGTTTTCTGAAGAGTTGTGTAAGCTGTCTTGTTGCTTAATTGCAATATAAGAAATAGTGATGTTTTGGAAGTAAGTTGTCAACAAATTTCTTTCTATTTTATATTGTTTGTCATATTTTTATGTAGTTTGAAATGTTTAAATGTTCTAATATCAAGATTAACAAATATACGTTTATGGTACATTTAGATTGTATTATATTACTTTGTAAAGTTTGGTGTTCATTAAATTGGTAGGTTATATAAAGGTAGCTCTTGCTGTGAGAATTAAGTCCCATACAGCAACAAAATACATTAACATCTAGGGAGTTTCTGCTTCTACCACTTAAAACATTCAGTCATTATGCAATGTAGATGGTTGGGTGAACAACTGATACATACTAGCTAGAATGCTTTTTCAGCATTATGGCTAAAGTACATAATGTCTAACAGTGCTGTTTGGGTGAAAATGCTGATTGATAATTTCTTTTGAGATTTGCTTAAAAGAAATGCTTTATTAAGAATATGAACAATTTCCTGATGTCTCCTGTAGATTGTGATTGTTTATTCTCTTTAGTCCTGTTGTTTAAAACTTAAATGATTTTTACATGGGCTGATATTTAGTTTGATTGAGTAGACTGAGGGCTGTAAGGGCAAAAATTGACTGAAATGAACATAGTGCTTTGGACTGAAGGTAAGATAATCTGAGAAGTAGAGAGGAACACAGGGTCTAAAACTGTTTAAGAAGGGGGGGAAATGTATGTGAAGAATCGAACAGGGTTCTAGAATGTTTATTCCGAGTGAGGGGAGAGCCTTATTTTCTTTCTTTTTTTTTTACAACCAGACAGGAGGAGTTCTTCTCTTTGAAAATGGCAGCTGGGATGGGAACTTTGTAGTTGGACAAATAGAAAAGGGAAGAGCCGCTGGAGCATGGAGTGAAGCTGAGAGGAAGAGCTGCCAGTCAAGCCTGCTGGGTACTCCTCACGGGTTGGAAGGCAGCTCTGGAACAGAACCAGCTGGAAGCAGACATTCCTGCTTAGTGTTGGGGAGGTGGCCTAAGGGTGTGGGCACCGTTTTAAATCAGGGAATGCTTTGTTTGGGCTCAATTTCACACATTCATAAACGAAATTCAACCAAAAAATATTAACTGCTTGATGTTGCTTGTAATATTTATTTGGCATTAATATGATAATCTCTATGTATTTGTAAACTCAACAGAAAATAATTGAGCTTTGGAAAGCTATAGTAATCCCTGTATTATATCATTTATATGTGAAAAGGCAGACATTTCTATAAATTTTTAAGATTATCCATTTGTTACTTTATTTTAACATTTTTAAATTCTGATGTTTTCTTGGTTTTAAAAGTAATGCTTTCTTTACTGTTAAAAAAAAAAGATTAATGATTGAAAAGTATAAAGGAGAAAATAGCAGGCAGGTCAAATTCTACAACCCAAAATGATCACTTTTAATATTTTGGTATGTTTTCTGCTAGATCTTTTTCTACATGTTGATGTATATTTTACATAATTGAAATCATGCTATATATTCAATTTTATATCATGCTTTTTCACTTAATATAAGCATTTTTCAACATCATTAAAAACTCTTCATGAACAACATTTTAATGACTGTATAATAATATGCCATTGTATGGATTTACCATAATCTAATAGCCATTTTTCTGTCATTAAACATTTGGCAGTTTCCAAATTTCTGATATGAGGAAGTAGTAGCATTTAGCCTTTATTGAGCATTCTATATGCCAGGCACTGTTTAAAACTCTTATTTATACCAGCTCTATGAGGTAGATACTTTGTTTTTTTTTTAATCACAATTTTACTGATGATGAAACTCGGCCCCAAAAGTTAATAATTTGTAGAAGGTCATATAGGTAGCAAATGGTAGAGATGTTTTTAGAAGTTTATAGAAAAATATAAAGTTTTTTAGGGTTTGCATATTTATATATGTATATATACACATATGTAGTCTCATATACCTCAGGTATAACTACGTTTAAGGTTTCTTATTCTATATTCTATATATGATATATTGATAAACCATCCCTCTTAATACTTGTGTGTGTGTGAGTGCCCTTTGACTTCACACCATCATTTGTGAATTATCATTTGGTTAAAACTTTGCTAATTTAATAGGTAAATAATGTCTAGTAAGATTGGAAAATTTTTTCATGTTTTATTAGCCTTGTGTATTTTTCTTTTGAGTCAATTGTCCGTTTATGTTTTTTGTCTGTTAAGTTCTTGGGGTCCGACTGTTTTCTAAATCTTTTACACAGTTAGTCTTTCAAATGTAGCTATTCTTGTATTCTTTGTTTACCTCTAATCAATGATTTTTTAAAAATGTGTATGTATTTTTATACATATTTTAAAAGTAAGTGAAAGAAAACCTAGGTTTAAGTTTTAGACTTATTGAACTCCTGATTTTACATGTTAAATTGTAGGGTTTCACCTTGTTTTTATGATTGAGGTTGATATTTTCTCCAAAATTACAGGTAGGAGACAATGTAGAATCTGCTGACCTCATTCAACAAATGCTTAATACCCTATCACATACCAACATGAAAGTGCAAAGACTCAGTTGATAGTTGCCTGCTTTAAGGGAGCTCGGTATCGAATAGAGGAGACATATGAGACAAAGGTTCCTGCTGTGAGTAGAGTGATAGAAATGTAAAGTGCAGGTTGGGGAGATAACTCAGAAGTATTTATTAAATCAAGTATTCTGTAGTGATGCTGTTTTGTCAAAGACATGGAGAGACTGGCTATGGCAGAAACATATAGGACCAAGGGCCAGTTAGTTTTACGGCTTCTACTAACTAGTAGTCTGGTTCTAGCAAATCAGCTTGCAGTTACTGTGTTCCAGCAATACACTTGATAATAACTGTAGGGGTGCTTATTTTGGTGCAAAGTGTTTGCCAGAAACACAGAATTTGAGCAATCTCATATAAGCCTGGATGGTACTGATTGAAGACTTCCTCCCCACATTGCCAGCCCTCAAACAGGGTACTCTATTGGAAGACGTTGTCCTTCAGATTTATCCGGGTAGCCTTGATCGTATCTTGTATCAACTGATGTCAAATGGGCTTTGGGCCAAGTTTCAGGATTTTTTCCTCAGACCCATGACTGGACTTTCCTGGAGTTACCCACAGGTCTCTCAAGTGGCTCTCAAAGGGTCTACTCTGTGGCAGTGTTCCTGGCAGTAGGCCCAGGTAGGAGACTGTAGAGAGGGCTCAGTCCAGATATTGATTTCTTATCATTGTGAGAAGATTGAGATAAGTGTGTTATATTCTCTAATGAGTCGGAGGGTTTTGACTGCCAGATTCTCCAGCCTTGGATGATGCCATTTTAACTGAATGTTACAATGTCTCCATCAGTCTCCAAGGGTGAGGGAGAGCAGTGAGCTGAGCGTAAGCAGTTCGCTTCCACTCAGGGAAAGCAGCTCTGCCCAGGAGTCACAGTGGCTCAGATCGCCCTATTTTAGTTTGGAATAGCTTTGTTGCCAGCAGCCATCCAGTGCTGGAATTCTCACTCTTCAGGACATCCTGGATGTATCCCTCAAGTACTACCTCTTGAATGGAAGCATATTAGCTCTTAAATACCCATGTAGGCTAGTTCTACCATGTGTGAGAATGTTAACTGCTGAAATACTCTTACAGACCTCTGGGCCCTGGGGTGTGGGTAGACTTAAAAGGTCACCAGCATTAAGGAACTGGTTTCCAGAATAAGAGTGGGGCTTTTTTGTTTGATTCTTCTCCATGAAAAAGCTTTCTCTTAACATTCAAGATGTGCATCTGTAGCCAAAATTTACAATAATAAGAATTGAAGGGGGCGCTGGGTGGGTTGATAAAATGAAACCTGGGTGCAACAGTGAACTGTTATACCAGAGTTTGGCTTTGACCTTTACCTTGAGGTAAGAAGATGAACCTGGGAATAGGACTGAGCATGGGAACTTGGGAAGGGACACAAGGAAGGAGGAGGGGAAGGCTGCACTTGTCAACTCACCAAATCTTGTCCATTTAATCCTTGAATATCTCAGCAAATGCCTCACCCTTCTCTGGCTGTGGGGCCATTACTTCTTTTTTTCTTATTTACTTCAGAAAGCTAACTGAACCCACTCTCATCCCCTTTCATCCTCTTGCTGGTGAGCTTTCTAAGTTGCACAGTGGAATTTCTCTGAATAAAAGTTTCCTATGTCTTTTGTTGCCTGTAGAATAAAATACAAACATAGCAAAGACTAGCAGAGGTCCTTAATGTTCTTGGCCTTGCTTACTCCTCTGGTCTCATGAATTGCTGTTTATGAACTTAACCTGTTACACACAACTTCATGCAGTTTCTGGAATTGAGCCAAGCCACTTCCCACCCACCTCCCTGCCTATGTATTGGCTACTGCTTTTACCTGGAATGTCCTCTCCCATCTTGGGCCACTAACCCCAAACCTTTCACTTAGCTCTGATATTTCTGGGAAACCTTCCTCTGTTAATGTCTGAAATGTTCTGTTTATTGAAGCATATATTACAGTGACTTGCTTACATGTTTGTCCAACAGACTGAGCTATGTAAGTACAGACACCTTGCCTTGTTTAGCTTTGAACTCTCAAGAACTGGCACTTTGAACACTGGAGACATTACATGCCTGGTGAATGAATAAGTGAATGGCAGACACTATTGCAACCTTCAAGTTCCAGATTGTTAAGGGCCTTCACAAATGTAATGACTGGAAAACAACAATTCAGGAGTATTACCCAATACAAGTGAGCATTGTATACTTTTTTTTTTCATTTGTGTTATGTGGGAATTCCAAAAAAAGAACATCAAAATGTCATGGAGTGACTGGTGTTGTCTTAGGTATTTAGAGCTGGATGCAGATTGATGAGCCATGTCTGAATAGGCCTAACAGGAGGAGCACATTCTTTCCTTTCAGGCTTTTGCTCAGTAAAGTTACTTAGCCCATCTAGTTCTGATCTCTACCCCCTCTCCTGAACTCAGCATTTAATGGCTGTTTTACATATCTGGTAGTTAATGTGATTTCTTGTATTGTTAGATCTTATTTCAGTAATTACATAGAGAATACACTGTGCCAGGTACTGGGAAAACAGTAAGAGAAGAATAGTCTTCACCTACTTTTTACAAAACATATCCATAAATAATTATTTAAATTACCATGCTTGTTATTAGTGCCATGAAGAAAAAGTTCA